CTGGTCAACCAACATAGAGCCTTTTCTACTCAAGTTTTACATGGCAGGCCAGACTTCGGCTGAAATTCCTCACGTAGACGAGTTGTCCGACCGAATAAACTGCCATTACTCCCGATGTGGGTATCTCTCGATCTTTGTTCGTAAGCGATAGTATCATGAGATCGAGGGGTGTGGCTATTCTTCCGCCGAATATTGCTTCGGCGGGTTTTTTTCCGTGTAAGATGAGACCGATGCGTGCTGCCGGAACAAGAACCTGGCGATTCTTCACTGAACTGTTTCTTCCGTAAGCTTCAAAAGGGATTTTTTTTTTCGTTTCGCACACCATCTGTTCTGCTTGCCCGTTAGTTGCAGGATGGTATGGTGCACTAATGTGATGCCTGATGCCGTTTTTTTTTTCTTCAAAAACTTGTTTATTTTATTTGAAGCAAGATTTGGCGCGTTATCAGAGAAAAGTATTTTCGGTAGGGCAAAAGTAGGTAAAAGAGACCGTAGAACGTCAATGACGTGTTTGGACGTCGTAACAGACATCGTGTAAACTTCCAGCCACTTAGAGTACGCATCGTACATGACTCTGCAGATGTGGATACGTTTCGCCACCCACCGACTGAATAGTGGATCGTTTTCAGTTACTGTTCGAGTCTTTCCACAAAGTTAGCCCAGGTGCCAGGACTTTTGTCGAAAGCGGTAAGTGTTCGAAACGTTACTTCTGCGAAGTGTTACTTCGAAGTGTTACTTCTGCTCTTCAAAAAAAAACCCAGTCTCAGGGTAAACGACGAAATGGTTGACTTTCACCTGCTAGCCTGTACTTTGACTCTTTTCTCGTTAAACATAATGTGTGTCGGTACTTCCGAAAATATTGCAACGGCGTTGGTTTTCCGGGAACTATAATGTAACAACCTTTACAACATCTTCCGGACCCCATGAAACACAATATTTCGTGACGTTATTTTAGTCGTCATTAAAATGGTGAGGTAAGTACCGTAAATCGCGAAGCAGTTTACTCGACGTCCGCTTCCACTGGTTGAGTCTACTGAGCGTGCATTCCTGCAGAGGAAATTTTCATTGATAGAATATTGACACGTCAATCAACATTTGATTCCTTCTTGGTAAGATTTATTGCGAAAGCACGTTACAACCACGGAAGCGCATCTCCCTGTATCAGAGAACAATTTATACCCAGCCTGACATTCTCGCATACATCCATGTGCTGGGCCACGCTACTTGAGCTAGCTGAGCACAGCTGGCAGCGGCGCGAGCAAGGCCACGAGGGGAACGTGATGGCGCTCGAGCCATCCCACTGTGAACCAATGTTTCGGCCACCCCACGGGTGCGTGTCGCCATCTATTGGTTGAACTAACGCCTTGTTCAAGATGGCTGCCGTGGGACCGGAGCCTTAATTGGGCCAAATGAAGTGAATAGGTAAGCAAGTTGTATTTTGTTTCCGATTCACCGATGGTTCAGTCGTATAAAACGCCAGAATGGCCCAAAACGATTTTCTGATGATTTTCAGAAAAACAAATCTAGCAATAATTTTTCCATAGACAAAACCAGTTTTTATTTTCTTTCTTTTGACTGCGCGGGTTTCGTGTATTCATGCCAGTCTTAAAGGGGCGATGCAACGATTTTTGTATTTTGCGCAAATACCACTTAGAACGGATCCCTGACGTTAATGACCTTTGAAATACCCGTCGTTTTTCACCACACGCAATCGAAGTCGCAGAAAAAAATTAAGAAAAACGAGCAGAGTTCACCCCCTCAACTCGCAGCCAGAACAAGTGACCACGTGATCGGGAGCCGATTATATGGCGCCAATGTTGTTCATAGCCTCGCGCTGTGGTTGGCAAGGCACAGGACACGCGCTGAGATCTAGACATTGTTATGGTTCGGTTGTTGTCGTCATTCCAGCGATTGGACACAGGACACTACCCGAATGCTTCTCGAGCTATCGATTATCACGAGCCCAAATCGAGTGTCCACGCAATGTTCGGGTCCAATCTATGAGCCGCATTCAAATATCGTCACTGGGCGGTACTGCTACCGCCGAGCTACGTCATCAGCTTTTGCGAAGGAGAGATTGAATGAAAACACTCGGTTTTGTCCTCGAAATTACAGCGCAACAAAGAAGTTTCTTGGTCAGTGGCGTTGCGTGCTAGTATCCTCGAGTACCACTACTGCCAGTAAGCTCGTGTAAAGTGAAACATATTCCAATTGAATATCGTTGCACCGCCCCTTTAAGTAGTAACGCGTTACTACTAACGCGTTACTGTAATTTTGTTAGTTTTTTGGTAACATGTAACTGTAACGATTTACTTCTTTAAAACGTAACTTGTAACTGTAGTTCTATTACTTTTTTCTGAGGTAACGATAAAAGTAACGACGTTAATTTATTCGTTGCTTTTCAGTGTTTTATGAATAATATACCACCAAACGAGTACAATTTAGATTTTCCTTGCACTTTTCAAACTGTCTATTCCGCACGTTTCGAGTGCCAAGTTGGCCTTGCTTCTCACGAGTCACGACCCGAATATAGCCACGTGTAGACTTCATGAAAACAAATCTACAGGGTCAGCAAGATGCCAAAGTTTCAGCCCGATCCGATAACTTAATCAAAAGCTATGTGTTTTTCTGAAAATTTCAATGGGAAAATGGAGCCCATTTTCGCCCGTTTTCGGTTTCTGGTGTCATAGAGCCCCATGCGTTTGAAAACTCCGTCGGCGGCCATTTTCCCATTTCAAATTTTCAGAAAATCACTTATAACTTTTGATTAATTTATCGGATCGGGCTGAAACTTTGGCATCTTGCTTGGACCGCTAGGGTTACATTCTGGCGGAGTTTGAGCGTTCTGCGACGCGTAAGTATTTTACGCGGGCCAAAAAGTAGGGTTTACTTTTCTCGATCGGACCCTATAGTTATCATTACGCACGCGCTTGTACTTTGTAACTGAACACTTAAAACTTGTTCACACTGCCCCGTTTTCTTACGTTACGGTACGAAAAGTCGCCAGGAAATGCGTGCTTCGTATTAAGCGTGGCAACCAATTCAAGGAGATAACCTGGCACGTGACATTCGAGACACGAATGTTTCGGTAACGTAGACGTAACGTAAGAAAACAGTGCAGCGTGAAAAGTTGAGCCGAGCTGAACTCCTTACGTTACGTCACGACGAGCCTTTTGTCCTCGGTTGCCACGGTCACTCACCGTCCTAGCTCGTCGTCACCGAATCATTCGTGTCTCGAATGTCGCGTGCCAGGCTGTCTCCTTGAACTGGGTGCCACGCTTAATACGAAGCACAGATTTCCCGATGACTTTACGTAACGTAACGTAAGAAAACTGGTCTGTGTGAACGAGCCTTTACATCTTATACCCCTGTTATACCCCTGTTACACGGGCACACTTAACCGCGGTTAACTCAGCTTTAACTGCGGTTACGTGGCAGCACAGATGCCGCACTATACCCTCGGACAGCTATTTCAAAAGAAGTGAAGAGAGCGCGTGCACTGCTTCGATGGGTGCTCAAGATGCTCAAGCGCACGTTCGCCCATAGCTCTGACTGCATCGCCGCAGAATGTTGTCGGCAAGTATTGTGCGCTAATTGTGGTTTAGCGTAACTGCAGTTAATTGTGCCCGTGTAACAAGGGTATTACACGGGCACACTTAACCGCGGTTAACTCAGCTTCAACTGCGGTTACGTGGCAGCACAGATGCCGCACTATACCCTCGGACAGCTATTTCAAAAGAAGTGAAGAGAGCGCGTGCACTGCTTCGATGGGTGCTCAAGATGCTCAAGCGCACGTTCGCCCATAGCTCTGACTGCATCGCAGCAGAATGTTGTCGGCAAGTATTGTGCGCTAATTGTGGTTTAGCGTAACTGCAGTTAAGTATTCCTGTGTAACAAGGGTATTAGTGTCTCGAAGCGCTATCTACGTTGTGGGTTTTTTGTTTTTTTTCTGTGAAAACGCTTTTTAATCGGGTGACTCAACCGTGAAACAACAATACACGCGGGGGGCACTGCGCATGGTTCGTATTTTGATTAGCGCCGCTACTCTGGAGTGGAAATTTTCAAACACTAATTTCGAGAAGCAACTTCTGCTGAGTTAAAATATGAACTAAAAAGCGTACTTTTTAATTCGATGCAATAAAACTTGGTGAAGGGCATTTTCTAGTTTTTCCTAATTCTTTTGTGTTATAGAAAAGTAACTTGAAAGCAACGTCGTTACTTTTTAAAAGTAAGTGTAACTGTAACGAGTTACTCTTTTGTTGCGGTAACTGTAACGGTAACTTTGCTACTTTTTTCAGAAAGTAACTGCAACTGTAACAAATTACTTTTAAAAGTAACTTACCCAAAACTGATTCATGCTCTCAATTAATGAATGCATCACCTTCGGGCACCTGTGTAGTACATGCCAGCGCGGTACGTTGAAAAACCGATTTGTGCACACCGGCCAAAGTGGGATCGAAGCGTTTTTAGTGAACCGAAAGAAATGCGGGAAGGTGTCAATGCAGAAACTACTCTGTGACATCAATCTATCTGCGGTAATTTCTTCGTATGGTGCGATGACGACTTTCATCGTACAGGCACCCGGTGCTAACCTACCGCGACGTCTCGACGAAAGTGTCATTTGTTGTAGCGTTGGGAGAACGTCAGGATGACACATCATTCTGCACTTCTAACGCGTTCGACTGCCGAAAGCCGGCATCCGGCGCTCGGCATTTGCGTTCTAACGCCTTCGAACAGTGAGTGGAGACAAATGCAGCCTACTTTGGCTGTCAGTCAGTCCAACCAGACCTCGGCGTTCTGACGCCCCCGCGCGCTCTCGTTTCCTCCTCTCTCTCAGTTTCTCGTCGCATAGTTTTATCGCACGAGATAGAAAAAAAGTCAGTGGCACGTTTAGAGAAACCTGCCATCTTAGCCTAAACTTGGGACAAATTGTTTGGCCCTCCCGTCTATTCCTGGTAGAATTATAGTGACATCGAGTTTGGTTCCTTCTCCTACGGGCAGACATGTTCCTGCTGGCGCTGGCGTGTGCCGTGGGCAGTTCCTTCGCCGTTCCCTTTCCGCCGATGCTGCCGCCGGGGCTGTCGCCGGCTTCCCTGGCGACGTCGGCCAACCCGCCCTTCACGCCTGCCATACGGACGTCCCTTCTGCTGCCCCTCGAACCGCCGGAACAGTTCCAAGACGCCCCTGAACTCCAGCCGATGGCTCTTGTCACCGACGTGGGCGCCAACGCAACAGAGACCTCCGCCATTGACTCGACTTCGTGGCAAGAGGTGCGTATAACACTTGGCTTGAAAACGCTACACAAGAAACCCGGGTAAGCTTTCATTATTGAAAAGACACCCGTAAAGGTTTTTATCTTTAGTCATTAACAGCCGTAGAAAGGCAAAGCGGGGCGAGACCTATCCATCTATACATGGAGGGAGGAAGCTGCTGGAGGCGACATGACGCCACTATACCTGAAGCCAGACTTCTGGAGGGACACTTCCCAACAATGACCAAAACCACCGTTGTTTTTGTCACCCTCGCCACAGCCTTATATGTAGAGAGTATGGCCATTCGTCGGGAAGTATGGCAGACAGATCAGGTGGTGCAATTGGCCGAAAGTGTCTGGGCGTGTTCCAGGGCGTCTTCAAAAAGTCGAATGTGGCCAACCAGAAGCGAGAAATAATACGCTGGTGGTGGTTGCAAGAAACAAACTTAATTGAGTGTGTTGAAGTAACTCTCGGCTATTGAAAATATGGTGCACGTTATGTTTAAATTACGGTCATCCAGAATAATGGTGGAAGAGCTCAACTAGCGGAACGATCGACATAATCCGTAAGCCAGGTGCCGAGGACCGGGAATCTGCCGTCCGAGCTGTCACACTCACTGTGAGCAAAACAGAGTTGAGCGGCACATTTTTTTTCTTACATCTTTCTGCACGATCATCATTAAAATATCACGTGCACCTTAATTTCAGCCATGAAAGGTTACAACATTTAACTGTTACGCGCTTATTAAAACGATTAAAACTGTTTATCGCTGCCACCGCTAGGGGATTCTTTTTAGCTTCAGGTTGGCCAAGAGAGCATGTCAAGCCCTCTTTCTGGGTCTGGTGCACGCCCTGGCTCTGCCCGCGCCTCCCGTTGACCGAACTCTCTCCATACATGGCTCTCACCCTCGCGTGCTACCTCCTTGCACAAATACTTTGTTTCATCCGAAATCAAGACGCAGCTGACACCACGAACCGACAGAACCTATCATACAACTTCAAAAGTGCAAAGTCATGGTGTTCGTCAAGTTCAGTTCGTGTTCTATCACAGCTGAACCATATCATGTAAAGAAAGGCTCAGTAAGTTGCGCTTTTCATGCGGTTTGATTGGTCCCGTCAAGTCGTAGCGTCGGCTGCATCTGGGCTTAAAGTGTAATGAAGTATAGTCATTTGTATTACGACGTTAGCCGGTAAAGACGCCGAAGAGTGAACCACTAAGCAAGATGTATGAACATCAAAAGCCATGCCCTACGTTTCTTAAGATATGTCTAGAAGCCAATTTCTCGGCCACCTCACATATCACAGTCCACATGCACGTACGCCCTTCTTGTAAATCAAAAACACTCTCGATTTATGCGACAGCTTGTTCATTGAACATCCACACTGGTCACTGTATCTACGGGCACCTTTAAACCTTTGCAAAAATTGCCTTCTGCGCACTGCCATCTTTGTCTGCTGGGCTGCGGAACGCCTTGTGAGCATGTGCTGTAGCTCTGTTGTGCTCTATATCAGACGCTGCGCATGTGTCCACAGCTCAGTGACTCAGCATTTATCGCCCGAGTGATAAACGATGCAAATATATTTACTCTGATCACACTAAAAGAGCACCTGAAAAGAAAGAAAAATGTTTTTTCTTAACAGTCCGGTTGGGACAAGCGTGTCAAAAAATAAATTTGAACAAAAAAAAACATTTTAGAGGAATATGTACGGCGCGAGACGTGGTTTAGTCGGCTGCAACGAGGTAGAGGGGCTTAGAGTGATAAACCGGAAGTTCGGAAGTGGCACCCCCCCCCCCCCCCCCGGTTGCCGCCATGTTTTACGCAAATGTGACCACTCGTCACGTGACCTTACAAGAGCCGTGACGTCGCAGGTAAGATGGCAGCGCCCAGAGCTGGCGGATTCGGGTTTTTTAGGTGCGGGGCAGCCTTGATGCGAAGCGGCTTTCTGACGACAGCATCAGCCGTATCGCCATACCGGTGCTCGGATTCGGGATCTGTTCGAGGATCGATAGAACTTTGAGTGGTTTTCGCATAAAATTTTCGCATTCTCTTGGCTTTGTTTGAACGTTGGAATGTCTGAGAATCGACGCGAAAGGTATACGTCGCGTTAGGGCCTAGGAGAAGTTGTTTCAGGCCTGCGTCACCGAATAACCATAGCAACGTTTAGCGAGGAAGCTCTTATGATCTTTAACCCTTTGTGCTAATCGACGATTCTACATTCGATCGCTTTTCTTCCTTTTTTGGTGAATGCGAAGTGCACAGTTATTTTCAGCTACGAGGATGACGTTTTATTGAGTGTGGGGATGAATAAATTGTTGCAGGCACCTGCTTCAAAGCTATTCGACTTGCAATAAGAACAACTGTTTTGGTGTATGAATAGACTAAGTGCACTTTTTCCCCTTTGGTAGGATATATTGCAGCAATACCTTTTTTCATCAAAAGTGCATTGTATTAGTCGGTCAATTATTTACTTGTTCTAATTACCTGGATAAGATGATTCACATTTGTGTTCATCCTTTGCCTGAAGAGCAGTCTTGTTGAAAAATGTTGACCATTCATTTCGGTCTCTTCAATAGCCTTTTTTGAAAAGTGTGGGTTGCCTATACTTCGTATCATTGTAACCTGGAAAAGGGCAACCGCCACAGCCCCCTCGAGCCAATCAGATAGAGAGAGCGAAGGTGTGTGACAAATCTGTGCAGAAGAGCACTCTGAATGACATGTTGTCATTCAGAGTGCTCCAACGTGCATCTTGGCTCTCCAACGTGCATATTGGCTCACCGAGACTGTAGTCTTTGCTGTTTGCCAAATTGTGATGGAAAGAATTACAGTAGCTACTACTCAAATTACCCCAGGCTTTCATACTTTGGTCATTTGTTTAACAAGAATGTTATGTCCGCACTCACTGTGAACTCTGCTCAGCGCCTATTGGACTCGAATGCTGCATTAGCATTCGACGTGAACTGGGACCCATTTGTGTGCTTTATGCCGAAAAAAAAAATGGTAACAGTTGTGTTGCTTGATGGGGTTCTGCAAAGGGTCTATTGTGTCATACGTATAGGAAGTATCCTGCTATATAACAATGCATCAACAGATACGATTAAATATATGCTCAGAGGTGTGTTCCGGAGAAGTGGAATGAGTGCAGCCCAATGCAACAAGTCTGCCAGTCTGGTATGTCCCATTAATTAATATTGAAGGGTCAGAGATGCGAGTGTCCTCAAAAGGACCTGCGCATGTGGTGAACACAATTCTTGGTGTATGAACTCTCAAGGCGTAAAGGCAAGCGGAAATAGGTTTATCTGGTTAGTGTATCAAATATGTTAATTTCCACTGGATTACATAATTATTGATTCTTAGTTAATGGTTCCAGAACGAGTTCTTTCTGCGACAGTCTCACGTCAGGCGTTCAATCGTAATACCTGTGGACCTTGTTGTGGGATGACGATCCTGGCACGTCTATGTTCAGTTTGGTCGACTAGTGTTCAGTTTGACCGACTGATGGCGTCTTGTAATCATACGTCATGTGCGCCCACTAACTTCTGATGCACTGAAGCTGCAGGGCTGGCTTCTAATCCGCAAAATTTTCCTGGTAGTTTTCTGCTTCAATGCAGCAAGCTCGGTCATGTGGTTATGTGGCTGTGCCTTTTGCTGTACCGTTTACTTGATAGCTGTTAACAGTGTTTGTTTGCTATCCAAGCCATTTTGCTTCCATTTCGTAATGGAGATTTATTCTGCATCCCACGACTACTGCAACTTGTGCAAGTCTTGTGTGGCAAAGTGAAGTCTCGTGATGCTTGCAGTCCACTTTTGAGAGAAATCAACCATTCTATTTCTTAAGGTAACTGAGCGGCATTCTCTCTCAAAGTTCGAAATTTTGTGCTTCGTGGTGTGGACACAGATAATTAGTGTCAGCAAATTATTAGTTATTGTCCTTGGACGACAACCAACACCAGATCAACTCTCCTTGCATCGCCGCTCACCTGCTTTGTCGTACTTACTTCCCGTCCAGATGAAGTAGATCGCGAGCGTCGGGGTAATGTCGGCACCAGGGACAAAGACCGCCGAAGATAATCCTCAATCTTTTTCGGACGCTCGTCGAGACGTGGTCGAGGGTCGTTCTGCAAGAACCCTTGCAGGCCAATTCATTGGTACGGGCACCTCCAGTAGACATGGTCGGCCTCATGCAGTGGCAGCAGAGTGGTTTTCGGTCGGCCATTCGCAGTACCTCCTTTTCCTCGGTGTGCTTTGTTCAGCGCGAACCTACACTGGTTCTTCCCGATGTCGGGAATGCTTCGGCGTTGGGGTGTCTCGTTTAATTGGCATTGAATAGTAACAGGTAGCCGGTGGTGGTCGTTGTGACTTTGTGGCATAAGTCGCCCTCGTTTCGTCAGATGCCGCTTCGCTCGAAGAAGTCTCCAGTTGAAATGCCTGTCGAACTTCTTCTGAAACAATCTCGGCGATCAAAATAAAAGCCGGGCCAGTGATGGCAGGAACTAGCTTCCTTATCTCCTCCCGGACACCGTGGTGAATGATGTCACGGATGCCTGGGGGTTGGCGTCAAAGTTGCAGCTGGACGACTCGAGTGTCGCGACGCTGGGGAGTTGTTGATAGTGACATGCTCGGGCCTGCAGTGTACATTCAATGTTGGAAGCTTCATTGATATGAACCCTCCGACTTTTGTCGTGGGGTTGCGAACAAGGCTGCTGAAGGTGTTGTCCCTCACACGAGGAACGTAGGATTCTTAGCTTCTTGTCTTCTCTGGCATCAGGGTTGGCGTGGGTGCTCGATCAGGCGCAAAACATCCTTCACGAAGGCAGCGACGCTCTTGTTGGGGCCGTGTCCTGGACAAATCAGGAATTCGGCTCTCTCTCGTCAGTGTTGGCTGATGAACATGCACTTCAGCTCAATCTTGCAAACTTCCCACGATGTTAAGGAGGATTCGTGGTTCTCAAACCTGTGCCTCGCAGTTTCTTCCACGAGAAGTATAGGTTCTGCAGGAGCTGGTTGTCCATCTACCCAC